CTTTGGAAAGGACATCAACAACAGAAGAAGTATGTTCTGGATTCTCTAACACATGCACATTCTGCTGATTTCCTTTAAGAGATGTTAATTCCCAAGTTTGCAGACTTGATAAAGGCTGTCTTTTTGACGCCAAAGAGGAAATATCAGGTGATGACGCTGGCATGACCTTGCTGTCACACTGTATTTCCTCTTTATCATCATCATCGTCCTCGTTGTCGTCATCATTTGAAGTTAATGGAACCCTACAGACAAGTGGGAAATTTCAGAAAAAAGAATTTAGTGTCTTAAAAAAAGTAATTTCTAAAACTTCAAGAACATTATTTTCTAAGTTCAATTTATTTATAACCCAACCACAAAGCCACCTAAGAACTTCTATTTAATAAAGACAATTATAGGTAGGAAACCAGCAGTACAGAACTTTACGTGTTTCTCACAGGGAGTTCTGGGCCGGGAGACTCACTGCTAATCTGAAAATGGTATCTTTGCTCCACAGGAGAGAGACAATTACCTCCCATGCAAACTATATGAAAACCTACTGGAGGGTCAGCTATGAGTTGGTGCCGACTCAGTGGCAACGAACTAAGTTTTTATTCCCACAGCCACTTCTTGGGCTATGAAATGATTAAGATGCATACAAACATAACACACACCCATCATCATGCTTATACTTTTCTTACACTTAATTCTATGGGGTACCCAAAACGTTTCATTTGGTTTCTAACAAGAATAATAATATGTGAGATTATGTGAGATACAAGTTTTATTACCAAAAGGCTTTTATGTAAAAGAAAACCATATCCTTAAAGTAATTACATCTGAGAGAGAAATTAATATATTAAAATGATTTAATAAAATTACATTCTTGAACTCAAAATATAGAGTAATATATGCTAATGCCAAAAATTTTTATTTATATCTGTAAAATAACAGATATTTAGAAGTTCTTGATAGTGAAAAAAATTATAATGTAAATGTTAACCACTAGTAATGACACCTTTAAAGTTTTGTAAAAAGGAACTCCGAGGCTAAAATTTCATAATTACAAAGATATTCTTTCAACTTTAAGTGAAAAAAAGATGTTTCCAGAAAAAAAGTCTGAAGAAATGTAAAAGGAAAATCATCCAAAAAGAAATATAAAAATTAAAAGATGATAATATGAACAATAGAAAAAGTAAAAATGTAGGTCCATTATAAATAAGTACTGGGCTACACACAAAACAATGAAAGTAATACCTATTATTTGATAGGGATAGGCAAATTAGAAATTGGCTATATAAAATGAGGATATTAAAACATGAGGCATGAAGTAGCTGTCTTATATGCTTTCAGGAATGTAGTTCTTATTCTTAGTAAGAGGATTGATTGTAAGGGGGGAAAAGCCCACAATATACATGAATGACATGTAAATAAAAGACTATATAAAACATAATGTATATGAATGATAAAATAATTAAAAACTCACATTTAAAAAAAACAAATGTTTATGGGATTAAATATGTGCAAAATAAAAATGTAAAATAGAAATAATAACAAAAATAAAGGACAAGAGAACGTGGTGTTTTAAAGTGTCCTAAAGAATTTGGATGAATGATGTGTTACAGTAATAATATGTACTTAATGCAATAAGCCAAGGATGATTATCACTGTCACTAGGGTAATCAGAGAGAGCTCTAGTGGCTTAGTGGTAAGAAGTTGTGCTGTAATTCCAAAGGCACACAGTTTGAATTCACCAGTTGCTCTGAGGGAGAAGGATAGGTAATCTCCTCCCTTGTGATTTACTGCCTTTGAAAATCCACTGGAGGGTCAGCTATGGGTGGGTTCTGACTCAACAGCACGCACACAAGAACACGGTGATTATGAAGCTCTGGAGACTTAGTGAACTGCCAATCTAAAGGTGAGCAGTTTGAAATCTACCAGCTGTTCTGTAAATGAAAGATGGGCAATCTCCTCTATTTCAATTTACTATCTCTAAAAACCCGCTAGAGGGTCAGCTATCAGTCAGTTCTGACTTGAGGATACATACTAACAATAACATGGTAATCCTAACTCAAACTCAACGCCAAATCGGAACCAACTGATACCTGAACTTCCAGAAGTTTTTTGGAAGTTGTAAATCATACGACAGAAGACTGCCTATATTTTTCCCACTTGTGGACTAGAACGGACCACCTTTATGTTAGCAGTGCTGGTGACATAGGGAGGTTCATTGCTAATCCAAAAGTGGTGTCTCTGACGGTTCAAATCCATCAGCAAATCTTTGGGAGAAAGAAAAGTCATCTCCTCCCCTGCAATTTAGGACCTCTGAAAACCTGCTGAAGGGTCAGATTTGAGTTGGTTTGACATAATGGCAAACGAAGGAGAGAGAGAATTAAACTCCTTGGTTATAGACCCAAGAGAAATATGTGTTTACATTTACCAAAGGACATGTGTTACAGCACTATTTGTAATAGGTCCAAACTGGGACAAAAGAAACATTCACCATCCAAAGAACAGACAATGTTTTACAGCAAGGAGAATAATGTGTAGATCAGCAACAACATATGGCAATATGGATTAACTGTACAAACAAAATGCTGAACAAAAAGAAATCAGACACAAATTCATATTGTATAATTTCATTATCTGACCTTTAAGAGGAGGCAAAGCAAATGCATCTATGACATTAGAAGCCAGAATAGAACAGTAGTGAGCCCTGAGTGGGAAGGGCACATGCTTAGAAAGGGTCCCAAGGTAGGTATCTGAGATATTACGAATTATCTATTTCTTCAGCTGGTTATACAGCAGGGTTTGCTAGGTGACAATTTACCCCACTCTTAAGAGATTTTTTTTTGTACTTTTCTAAAACATGAGTTCTCTTAATTTGCCTGATAGACTATATTTAAGTAGATTTGCACCAGTAGATGCTGCCTGCTTCACTTTTAAAATAATAAATTTTGTTGTCTCACAAGCCCTTAGTTATTTTTCAAAAATGCCACAGCTCTCTCTTGTAGGTGCTTTACTTATTATTTTTCAAATGTTTCTTGGTTTTCCTTACACAATCATTGTTTCATGTAAATACGTAACTTAAATGTTAACTAGTTCTACAAATTTTGTTTCTATCTTCAGTAAACTTATAAAAAATCATTAAACTTCTAAGTCACCTAAGAATAATGTAAAAAAGAGGTAAGAGAATGTTTACAATTATTATTCATTCATTGAGTCCTCATGAGCCCTCTTTGGGTCTCAATGATTTATCTTTAAAATGACAGGTTTGAACCAGGGTACTGTCTATGGCTTATGAGCAAATTAATCAACAAGTGAGAATTATGATCAAGAGAAGAAGAGCAAATATGACAATGAATTTTAAAGCTTTGGGCAGCATATTGACTGAGAGATGAGATGAACTAGTGGGGGAAAGAACTGAAGAGTGATGTTGTTGTTCTTGTTATGTGCTATTGAGTGTGACTCACTGCAAGCATATGAACAAAAGATCTGAACCCAGTCCTATCCTGCGCCATCCTCACACTTCCTGACACACAAGAGACCTTTGTAGCAGTAGTTTTGTCAGTCCACCTGGTTGAGCGTCTTCCTCTCCTTCGCTGACCCTCTACCCTTCCCAACATCATGTCCTTCTCCAAGGAATGGCCCCTCCTAGAAACATGCCCAAAGAATGTGAGGTGAAGCCTCCTCACTCTTGCCTCCAAAGAGCTCTCTTGTTGCACCCTTTCCAGACATATCTGTTTGTCCTCTTGGCCGTCCATGGGATGTTCAGTGATCTCCAATATCACAGCTCAAAGACATAAATTCTTCTGTCATCCTTATTTACTGTCTAGGTCTCAGATGCAAAGCTAGTAATCAGAAAGACTATAGCCTGAATCAGATGCACCTTAGTCCTCAATTGACATCACTACTCCTCAATAATTTGGAAAGGCTCTTAACTGCAGATTTTCCCTGTGCAATGCATTTCCTTATTTCCTAACTGATCTTACCAAGGTTGTTAATCATGGATCCAACCAAGATGAAGCTGTTGACAGTTTCAATCACCTCAACATCCATCATGACACTACTAGTCCAGCGGTAAGAATCTTTGTTTTTTTGATATTGAGACACAATCTATACTGAAGGCTGCATTCCTTGATCTTCTGCAGCAAGTGCTTCAAATCCTCCTCACTTTTAGGAAGTAAGGTTGCGTCATCTGCATAACACCAGTTATTGATGGGTCTCCCTCCAATCTGCATGCCACATTCCTCTAGGATGCCACAAACATGCTTGGTTATTGAATTGATGGGTAAGTTTCCTTGGAATCCTGGAGACACAAAACTTGGAACAAGTAAGTCTCCATGAACCATCTCCTTCAGATCTTAGTAAGTGATTGACTGACTACAGGTTGATAAAAGCTGGACATGTGCAACATGGACAAATACTGCTTTACGTTATATAGAATCTTCCTCATCTTAACAAGTATAATTCAAATCTATATCCTTAAGAATCCACCTGTGCTGAATTCTTTACTGTTTATGGGAAATCTGAATAACATTTGAGAGTTTAAAATTAAATTCTATTAGTTTACAGCTGCCTTCAGGTTCTTTTATGAGGGCTTATATTAACATGTTATTTTTTTTAAAAAATTTCTTTAAATGTTCAAATATTTACTATTTATTTTAAAAAGTTTTTCTATATTTCACAGAAGTAGACCAAATAAAAAACTCTTCGAAATCCAATGTAGATAGAATGTTGCAAGTCAATATTCAGGCTCTGAAGAAATTACCTTGCAAATGGAAGATGCATCAACTTGCACTGTTTATTAATTCTTTTCTTCTGGCAAGATGGCAGTACAAAGGGACTCTGATGAAACTATTTGAAAAGAACAAAAAAAATTTCTAGTCTTATTTATTCATGCTTTTTCATTAAAGTACTAAATTATGTAAGAATACTAACGTAATAAAATCATTATTTTTTTTTGCTATTCAATAACATTTTTTTACTGTGATTTTAACAAGAGTCTACAGAAAGTTTGGGTTTTCATTCATTGTTTGCTCCCTTCCTCTCCCTTCTCCAGTCCACTCTGAAATGCATCCCTTGTTCCAGACTCTCATCATAAATAAATGCCTAATCATATATTCCTTTCTGACAGTTCTTCCTCTCATATGATCTAAGAGTGTTCATGATCTATCCACACTTTTCCTCTTCTCCCTCAATCTTCCATGTCAGTCCTATTTTAAATAGTGTCATACAATATTTGTTCTTTTGTGACTGAGATATTACACTCGCATAATGTCTTCCAGGCTCACCCATGTTGTGTAATGTTGTAATGTCACTGTTTTTCAACACTGCATAGTGTTCCATTGTGTGAATGTACCATACTTATCCCATTCATTCATATATTCGTTGATGGACATTTGGGTTGCTTCCATCTCTTTGCTATTGTGAATAATGCAGTAATAAACATGGGTGTGCCTACGTCTGTTTGAGTCAAGGCTCTGATTCCTTTAGGGTAGATTCCTAGTAGTGGAATTGCTGGGTCAAATGGTATTTCTATTTCTAACTTTTTGAAAAAGCAACAGACTGTCTTCCATAGTGGTTGTACAAGTTTACATTTCCACCAGCAGTGAATAAGAGTTTCAATCTCTCCACAGCCTTGCCAGCATTTGTTGTTTGTTGCTCTGTTGACCTTAGTTATTGTTGCTGGAGTGAGATGATATCACAGTTTTTTGTAATAAAATAATGCTTATGTCAGCTCTGGTAGCCTAGTGGCAAGAAGCTGTGTTGCAGTCCCGAAGGCACATGGTTTGAGGCCACCAGCTACTATGTAGGAGAGGGATGGGTAATCTCCTCCCATGCGATTCAATGCCTCTGAAAACCCATCAGCAGGTTAGCTATGGGTCTATTGTGACTCGAAGGTACAACAACCTTCAGTAGTAAGAATAATGTGCTGATAAGGTTAAAACATAGCTCGCCTTAATCATCCCACTCAGACATGGTCACTAATATGGTGGTTATGAGGACGGCCCAGAAGAAGCCAAAGTTCTGATCCATCGCTCATAGGGTTGCTATATGAGTCATAGTTGATGGCACATAACAACAATAACAAACTTCCAAGCTTCTTTTTGGATGAAAGTTTCTTTATTTCTATACATAGGAAACCTGTATGTGTGTATACAGATATAGCTACTAAAGTTCAACATATATACATATATGTATGTATATTCACATCTATGCATTGTTGCTGTTGTTGTTAGACACTGCTGAGTATGACTCACAGCCACCCTGAACAACAAATATGAACCCTGCAGATCTGAACCCTGTCATGTCCTGTGCCATCCTCGCAATCTCTGACATGCTTGAGATCATTGCTGTAGTTAGTCACTGAGTCAATCTGTCTGGCTGAAGGTCTTCTCTCTTCCACTGACCCTCAATCTTTCCAAGTATGATATCCTTCATCAAAGAATAGCCTCTCCTAGCAACATGCCCAATTCATGTTAGATGAAGCTTTGTCTTCAAGGAGCACTCTGGCTAGTCCTTCTCCATGGCCTATCTGTTTATTCCATGGGATATTCGGTACTCTTCCCCAGCACCACAACTCAAAGGTATTAATTCTTCTTCTGTGATCCTTAATCATTGCCAAGCTCTTAGATCCACAGCAGGTGATTGGAAAGACTATTGCTTGAATCAGGCACACCTTAGTCCTTAAACTGACAACAGAGCTCTTCATGATTTTGTAAAGGTCCCTGACAGCAGACTTTCCTATAGTTGTACATGTCCGACTGCTAGTACCAAGGGTGCTGACTGTGGAACTCATAATTTCGATCTTTTCTCTATCATGATGTTTTACATTGGCCCAGTGGTGAGAATCTCTTCTTAATATTGAGATGCAATTCATATTGAAGGCTGTAGTCTTTGATCTTCTACAGTTAGCACTTCAAGGACTCCTCACTTTCAGCAAGGATGGTTGGGTTGGATAATCTGCATAACACAAGTTGCTGATGAGTCTTCTTTCAATTCCGAAGCCACTTTCTTCTTCAGAGACTCAAGCTTCTTGAATAATCTGCTCAGCATACAGCCTGAATGATATGCGGAAAAGACAGAGCCCTGACATACACACTTCCCAATTTTAAATGATGGCTCTATTTTATTGCTCTGTTCAGACAGCAGCTTCCTGATCTAGGTATAGATTTCATATAAGCAAAGTGTTCTGGAATTTCCATTCTTCTCAGTATTAGCCATTATAATCAAACACAGTCAAATGTCTCTGCACAGTCAATAAAACGAAGAAATATATTCTTCTGGTATTCCCTGCTTTCAGCCAGATCCATCCAACATAAGCAATATCTCTGGTGCTGTGTGCTTGAGCTTCTGGTAGTTCTCCCTCAATGTCCTATTCTAGCCATTTTATTTTTTTTTATGATCTTAAGTAATATTTTGCTTGCATAGGATATTGATGATATTGCTCAATAAATCTCACATTCTGTTAGCTCACCCATTCAGATATCGATCTCGTTCAGTCAGGTGGCTATGTCTCTGTCTTCCAAATTTCTTGACACAGACTGGTGAGCACATTCAGGGCTGCATCTGCTAATTGAAACATGTGAATTTGCATCCCATCGATTGCTGGGGCCTTATTTTTTGCCAATGCCTTCAGTGCAGCTTGAACTTCTTCCTTCATCACCATTGGCTCTTGATCAAATGATATTTCCCAAAATATTTATGTAAAATAATTCTTTCTGTCCCTTCATCTTCTTTTGGTGCTTCCTGGATCATTTAAGATTTAATCCATAGTATATCTCAGAACTATAATTCGAGACTTGCATTTTGTTTTCGGTTCTTTCAACTTGAGAAATGGCCAACAAACTGTATCTTTACTTCAAACCTCAAGTTCAAACTCATTAAGCCAGAACAGACTAACAGCTGACTTTCCAACAGGGTTTCATGAGACTGTAAATCACACAGGAGAAAAGTGTTCATCTTTCTCTAGAACTGCTGGTGGATTTGAACTGACAGAGAAGTGCTATTGCTGGGTCAGCAGTGCAGCTCTCTATGGACTACCCCACCAGAACTTCATTTTCTCTTACTGTTTATTTTACGCTTTTCCGTCCATTTAGGATTCATTTCTGTTCCACTTAAGGAACTCTGGAGGCACTGGGGTTAAAGCATTGGGTGCTCATGTAGTGAGATTGTAGTTCAAATCCTGCCATCAGCAGGAGGAGAAATGAGGTAGCCAGCTCTGGAAAGGTGTACAACAGTGTTCTATCCAATAGTATGCAATGAGTTCAAGCTCACTTGATGGCAATAGGTTTTAAAAGAGAACTGGTAGTGCAAAGGCTAAAGTGCTTGGCTTTTAACTGAAGGGTGTCAAGCCACCAGCCACCACACAGAAGAAGTGCTAAATGGAGTCCATAAATATTTCCACCTTGGAAACCCTAAGAGGCAGTTCTATTATCTTGCAGGATCACTATTAGTTAAAATGGTCTCAGTGGCAATTGTTTATGTTCTACTCAGCTGTCTACCCCTATATTATTTGTCATAAAAATCTATTTTTATATAAAAATTTGAATGATAACATGTTATCACCAACCAAAATTAATAATCTTTATTTCTTTCTATAAAAGTTAAAATATTAATTTAACCTAGATGTGCTTTACATAATCTCAATTATCTTTAGCAATGCTTAAAAAAACACTCGAACATTACTTACAAATAAATTCTACTTACATCAGAAAGGCTGCTCATTTCAATTGCAGTTATCAAGCTGTTGTTCAGGAGTGATTCTATTTCTATAAGTTTCTTATTCTGCATATGCAAAATAAAGAAGAAAGAGTCCTTTTAATCAATTAAGATGTGGCATTTGAAAAAAAAAAGATGTGGCATTTGTCATGCTATATATTTATGAATACCATGAGTGAGGTAAGATTTAGAAAATAATTGATAATAAGCCAAAAGTTTCATATATTCCATAGTCCAAACAGCAACACATACATTTTGAATCCTTTTGATCTATTACAAATTTTCATGCAAATACTGTTCTATCTTTTGATAACACACAAGTAACTACTTTGTCAGCCAGAGGAATTTAAGTCTCAAATAGGACAATTTCCAGACAGAGTTGGAAACTGGAAAGGAAAACTACTACTATCTTCACTCTACTTGGGTTGTGTTCCTGGATTAAGGAAGAACACAAACTCTGTGAGAACTATCCTTTCAATTTCCTGGAAAAATCTTTTAAAATGTATTCATGCACCCAACTTTGCTTGTAATGAACAATTACATGTTGATCAAAGTATCAGCATTGGTTTGCAGATTACACATTTAGAATGCAGAACTATGATAATAATTTTATTATCCTCCAAACAGTTTGTACTTTAACATAGACTGAAAGTAAACAGTTGCGTTCAATGATTTTTTTTTAAATAATGGAAAATGTGAAAAATACCTTTAAAGCTTCTATAGTAATATTTTTAAAAGACTCTAGTTGTGCTTTAGTAGTTTAACACAATATTATTTTCATACCAAATTATTTAACTTTAGGCGTAGAAATGTGTTCTCAAAATTCAGTTTCTCCACTTCCTTTTGCAACAGTGTCTTTTCTGTGATAAGTCTTCGATTATTCTCCTTCTCTCTACTAAGAGCTTGAGCTAATGCCCTGTTGTTGTGCTTTAGAGAAATTTTTAAAATAGAGGAATTATCTGTAAAAAAGATTTTTAATAAAGTTAATACTAAAGTTACACCTTAATAAAAATTTCCTATTCTTTTTTACATTATTTTAGACAAAATATTAAAGAATATTTAGACAAAAGATTGAAGTTGTTAGAGATTTCACTTGATTTGGATCCATAGGAAATGCTATGTTAAGGAGCAGTTAAGAAAGCAAGTACCATATTGCAGGGAGCACATCGCGGCAAATTATCTTTTTAAAGTACTAAACAGGGAGGAGTCACTTTGAGAACTAGAGCGCAGCTGATCAAAGTCATGGTATTTTCTATAACCTCTGATGAATGTGAAAATTGGATAATGACAAAGGAAGATCAAGACTTGATGCCTTTGAATTTTAGTTTTTTCAGGGACCACTTGTAAACATGTCTAGTATTACACTTGATAAAATAAGAAATTCAATCACGCAGC